AAATTGACATTGACAAAATGAGAGTGGCAACAATAGGTTCTAGAAGCTCTGCAGTAGTTGATTATTACAAAATACTAACCTTTCATTTCCTTCTCCTTAACAACATGTTTCATCTTTTTCCTTCCCAAATTATGCTGTTGATCCTGTGTGGAAGCTTTGAACGGTACGGCGGGTGCTGTCCTTCGTAAATACTTCAGCCAAGCGGTAAGATTATCACGTGGGACTAGATCGGCCTTGTTAAGGACTAGAACGAGCCGTTTGCCGGACTCTCTAACTGCCTCCTCTACTTGGATGCAGCGGGTACCTGGAAATGGATTTTTTAAATAAATAACTTGAATACATACAACAAAGTATCATGGTCAAATAAATACACTGATGTAGTTGGTGAAAAAACAGAAAGATAAACCATTTGCTTTATTTACTACTTATGCTAAGCCATTATGGATAATGGGTTTAAACTGTTTGAAATGATATAGAAAGACTCGAGATGTATTACCTAATGGGTCTCTTGCATCAACAATTTCTAATATGACATCAGCTTCAGAGATGACCTTTTTGAACTCTCTGTAATAGGCTTTGAGGGAGTTTTCTTGGCTTTTGTCCTTTCCGAACTCAACATCATCACTTTGCATTTCACCACTCTTGAATACATCATGTACTTTCCCCCTGGCTTCTGCATTTGCAACCTGCAATCATTTGGAAATACACTATATTAAGACTTAAAACATTTATTGTTACTGTATCCTAAAACATTAAATACTATTTTATTGCTTTAGATTAGATTTTAATTATCAAATATTTAATGATAGATTACTGCTAAAGTAATGAAATTATTACAATCATGTTAGATCCAAAATTATTTAATCCCAACTTCCCAACTAATATTATAAATGCGAAAGTAACTCTGTCTGTCTGTCTGTTACGCTTTCCCGCTTAAACCTCGCAACCGATTTTGATGAAATTTGGCATAGAGATAGTTTGAGTCCCGGGAAAGAACATAGGATAGTTTTTATCCCGGTTTTTGAAACAGGGACGCGCGCGATAAAGTTTTTCTGTGACAGACAAAATTCCATGCGGGCGAAGCCGCGGGCGGAAAGCTAGTAATAATAATATAAGCCTATATTCAGACATACAGAGTTTAAAATTGATTGAGTTTAATATTATTCTAATTGACACTTGTCTGTGTGCCTTTTTTGGCAAAGGCCTCCTCCAACTGTTTACACTCTCCTCTATCTCCTGCAACTGTTCCCATCCACCTCCAGCTGTGGCCTTTATTTCATCTACCCATCATTCCAAAATTATTATTATTATTCTGTCTAATGGCTTCAATGGTGCGAATTTTTCCAAAATTATTACATGTGGATAATATAAAACAAGTTCTCAGTATCAATTAGCCTAAAAGAGAATGCTATTCTGTTCTATAGACACAGATATAAACACTACACAAAATGAAACATGGTTTTTAATAACCCTTTCGGACCGCTCCAATACAATTGTGCGGGTTACAAAATCGAGATTATCTCATTAGTTTTACATCGGAAGTGGATGGGCTGAGTATCGTACGATTGTGCGGGATGCGTTCTTTCACCTCCCGTGCAAATTTTGTCCGAAGCGCAGTTGGTGAGCAGGTTACAACCTGTACAGTTCATGACTGATTGCGCTCCCCGACTTGGCGAAAGAAAGTACCTACTATGGTTTTATTTTGTAATTGTGGTAATATACAAGTTATTGATTAGGCAAATAGTTAAAAATAGCATCTTTTTGTGATAACAGTGACTACTTGTAAGCAAAGGCTTTGGCNTGTTAGTTACGCAAGCTTTAATTTATCATCACCTAACATGTTATTAATAGGTTTTTATAATATTTAAACAAAATGAGTCAATATTTATATGAATATCAAGTAGTCAGTTGTCTCGAGAATGCAGAGAGATAAATAGAGCCTGATTTACATGATACTTTTCGAAGTTTGAAGACATCCCCTCAGAACAGAGCGTTCATAAATTCGACACAGAAATAGAGCTCAAAAGTCATTATTACGTAATAATTCAGTGTGTTTGATGTGTTTTGAAAACAATAATTTGGAATAAAATAAAATAAAAAATGATTTCTGATAATTTTATAAAAAACAAGTTTTTTTATTTTGCTTTGTTATAAGTCCAGAAATTTTCATTTTATTTAACTTTGAGTTTAAAATGTGTATAAAGCATCTATTCAATGTCCGATTAGTGTTAGTTTTTGGTCCCCATAATAACTTTCCAAGATTTTTCTAGAAGACCATTGTGGAGACTATTAGTTGCAAATGAAAAATTCTTTGTTTTTTGTTATGATTTATTTTAGATGTTTATTTATGCTCGATAGACGATTTTTTAAAGCAATCGTATAATTTAGTGAGCCCGCTAATACATATAAATTACAAATTGAATTGATTTTAAATATTTACTTAAAATTTTTCAATTTCCGCTTGGGGTTATTTTTTTACCCCAGGGTGTTCAATGTGTAACCAAAAATAACGATGTTACTTAAGGGTTAAAATTGATTGAGTTTAATATTATTCTAATTGACACTTGTCTGTGTGCCTTTTTTGGCAAAGGCCTCCTCCAACTGTTTCCACTCTCCTCTATCTCCTGCAGCTGTTGCCCATCCACCTCCAGCTGTGGCCTTTATTTCATCTACCCCTCATTCCAAAATTATTATTATTATTCTGTCTAATGGCTTCAATGGTGCGAATTTTTCCAAAATTATTACATGTGGATAATATAAAACAAGTTCTCAGTATCAATTAGCCTAAAAGAGAATGCTATTCTGTTCTACAGACACAGATATAAACACTACACAAAATGATATGATTTTTAATAAAAAAGTTTACGCCTGTTATAAAAATGTAATTACCAAGGTATCCATACTGATTTTACTGTTCTTCTTTTCTTCAATCTTCTTTTGTTTTTCCAACTTTGCCAATTCCTTTCTCTTCTGTCTTTCTTCCTCTTTGTGTTTCTTGACTGCTTCCACTTCTTTTAAAATCTCTTCCTTAAAGGGGCAGACATTGGGCACCACAACCGTCTTGGGTTTCTTTGATTTAGGATTCTTTTTTGCTTCTTTCTTGAGTTTGCGGTTGTGATCTCTAACTTTCTTTTCAATTTTGTAGCGAAGACGAGCTGGCTGCCTCTTTGATGGCTTTTCTGCAATGAAAAAATAAATTAGTGAATAAACTTGTGAATAATAATCAAACCATTTTCCATGTTGGAAGATGCAGCATTTATGTGAAGAATCCATGCATGGATTTTTCAAAACAATTTATGCATTCTTAGGTTAATTAAATATTTTACAGGTTAAGTATTTATTTTGAATGATATAAAATGCAGTAACGTAACTCCTATAGTAAATATGAGATTTTTCATCTACATATTACCTTACTAAAATAAATATTCTTAAAAAAGCATGTTGCATTCATAACCTATCATGATTCTTTAGAATAATTGCAGAGCCCACATAAAATACAATAATTAGACAGTGGCTAAATATTATTAGATTAAGAGGGGTTTATGTACCAAATTATAATTTAATTTACTCTAAAATGTTTTTTGAGGAATATAAACGCAAAATTGTTTCGAGTAAAACTAACCAAATAATATTTAATAAACAACTTACTTAGTTTAAATTTGGCCATTGTGAAGTCTTATTTTATAGAAGTTAGTTGATTTTCTTATTATTGTAAATAACAAATTAAATAAATGTAATAAAATCAATGCTCAAGGCACGATTTTCGCACATTTGTTTTTGTAAAACTGTCAGTTTTGACAGATACACACAACACGTGCCCGTTTTACATCACAGATAACGTAAAACATAGTGCGGCGTAATAATGCAATGGCTACGCGTAACAACAACCAACGACGGACTAGCTTTTGTCCGCAGCTTTACTTGCTTGGATTTATAGTATTGTTCTTAGTTCAATGGTAAAATTGATTTGATTTGAAGTTTCATTAAAATCCTTTTAGTAGATACTTTTTACAATCAATTCTTTGTTGTTTTCCATCTATTCACATAAACTGAGATTATATTTAATAAAACGATCTAACGTTTATTGCTCAGAAAACATTATCACAGAGGATTTTTTTTGTATAAAACGTAAAATCTTTGTAAAATCCAAGAATCCAAGCCGTAATTACAACACTAGAGGCAGTGTTGGCCATGAAAAAAATAAATGTCAGTGTCAGTCATCTTGTCAGTTATCGCAAGTTAGTGGCGCGAATTTTCTTTAATCTCTTCTTTGATTTCTCAAATTAGGTATGTGATGGTCATTATTTTGGCCAATAAATAATGTAATGTTGCATAAAAATAAAGGGCGGGTGTTTTTTGTGAATAATAACCATAGCTAAGTTATAGTAATTAACCTGACAAGAGAAAAATCAAAAATATTGTTTTTGAAGTGTCTGAAGTTGTTAAGTATTAAATTAAAGGTAAGCTATTAAGTAAGAGAAAAACAAGTCCAAATACAAAGTAGGTACCTCTACGTTTTTCTAATTAGGAATCAATTATAGTAGAGAAGTTATGCTTTGTGCTATTTAGGATGCGGATCTTGGTTGTTACTTGTTTTTAAATGTAGGTAAGTAAGAAGTTTTAAGGGGCCATGATGTTACTACTTTTGTTTTTTGTTGTATTGGATACGGAACGGACTAGTAAATAATAAGAATGATTACTGTATTATTAATCAGTAGGTACTATTTATCTATAATAATAACTTAATCCAATTATGGAATCCTGTGGCATAGGTAACATTGAACTAAATGTCTTCCTGTTGAATTAATAAGGTTTGTAAGTATTCAGTTGGACGATTCTAACCAAATTTGTAACTCCATTCACACGTCATGGTAGGTAACGAACATTTTATAATACAAACCACGTACATTTTCATTCATCGTTTCGTTGAATGAGTACCTTGCGAGGTTAAAGTAAGTCGTCTAGTGTCGCCATATGACGTGCTTTGTTCGCGGGCAGCAGCTGCGTTGGCTCGCAAAACGGTCGTTTTTACCTGAACAGGTAACAGAAGCAACAGGTCATTTCACCGGCGCGGGGAGCGCTGCTACCGGCCCGTCAGTCAGCGGGCAGGCAGTCGCGCTGTGTTCTCCGTCAGAACGATACGTTGCCGCCGGCCGCGAGTCACTTTAATCGCACGAGACTTTCCCGCAAGCGATAACATCGCGGCGCCGAGTAATGTGCGCGTACGCACGCCTCGATAAACCTCTTGTTGGTCCACACTCGTGACAGTGCAAATGTCTCCCAGTCTAGAAGGGATCATGTTCAACAGGAACACGAACCTGTCGGCGCGACGACCGCTGTTGGCGGAACCGCAAAAGCCTTTAGTGATCCCACCGCGCGCACCTCCCCGCGAAACGAGCTCGCAACGGCCTTTGCCTGCTCCCAGGAACTTACCCACAGATTACCCATACGAATACCGACCGGATTACTGGAAACCATCGAACGTCGAACTCGAAAGACGACTGCAGGAGACGCGGGCACGTGAGAAAGTCGGCTACTTTCAAGACAAAGTAGCGCCGCCGGAGCTGAGCTTGGACCGGAGAGAAGCTGAACTAGTTTTTAGGTTCGACCCTCACGCTTCGGCAGAATACCTGTCCAATCAGTACCGCGCTCCTACAGTGCATTATGCAAAACCTCCGGCGCCTGCCAACGGGATTGCTAACCGTCTCCCAGAGCGAGACGGGCCCTTTGTGTTTGGCGTGCATAGCCCTAGCCAGTTTCCCATCCAACGGAGGGACGAGGACGATTACGATTATTCCGAAGTGGCTGAAGAAAACGGACGAACTGTGATTCGCGATGATGTGTCGGAAGACTTAAATTGCTGTGATAAAGTTAACGAGTGGACTGTACGCGATAAGAAAACCAGGAGGACTTTGAATCGGATGTTCCAAATTAAGGATAGGAGGAAGGTGAAAGGTGGGAAGAAGGAGAAGATAAAGTGTGTGTTGGTGGGGGATGGGGCAGTAGGGAAAAGCTCTTTAATAGCCGCGTACGCGCAGGATACGTTCCGGGAAGAGTATCAACCTACTGCTTACGACACATTCAACGGTAAGAACTTAATTTAGACTCTGATTCACACTTGCAATAACAATCATGTTTTGTTTCATAAGTTAGCAGAATAACAAAAGATAGAGCTGCATGTAGGTACTGAGTTTATTTCCAAATGTGTAATTTATCACGAACGACCCTGATTTAGTAGATAATTAGCGTGATTGTGATATAAATCATCATTACTGCGTGATAAGGCAATTCACAACGGAAAATGACCATTTTGTTATTAGCGGCGCCACATTAGGATGTTCTAGTAATAATAGGTCGGTAGATAATAATGTCAATGAAGATAACATAGAGCTCAACTTACAGAAGGACGACCACTTTCTAAGAAATAATCATGGAATCAGAACATTTAACTTTCTTGAAAAACTAAGCGAAATTAGCTGGCTTTCGAGCTTAGTAAAAAATTATTTCGAAAAATTATTAATAGAAAAGGGTTCTTATTACATTGGCGGTTGCAATTATATTATACTTATTTATAATAAGGTTAAATGCTCCACAGCAGGAGTCAACGACACGTCCCAGACATTTCTTCGGCCTTATCAACAAAATAAACTTGTTTTAAACATACGTAACAAAAGCTTGGTGGTCGTTTCTTACTTAAAATTCCTGTTACGCTTTCTCATTTCTGTTTATAACGCCGACTGGATTATATTTTTATTATGCAATTTGAATAGTATCAATTCAATGGTTTTATAAAGCAAGGGTGCTCCAGACAAACATCAACTGTTGTTAGAAGGAATGCACGTACCCTTGAAATATGTTATCCATTCTACAATATCAGAAGAACATAAAATATAACAAGCACCTCTTACCTACTTACTTTACGTGTGTCAATTCGTCATTCGTCACTAATTTATAAAAATACAAATACAAGGAAAATTTTCATAATAGGTACCTAGGCTAGGTACAAAAATAAAAGTTATAGCTCATTGTAAAGTATTGACATAATAATTTCATACTGCTCTCTTGGTTTAAGTAAGTTTAGCTATGTTTGTGAACCGCAATGATATTTTAGTATTTTACTTTACTAGACTTTACTCCATAAATCACCTCTACTTAATTTAAGTCACGAAATTACATGAGTGTGACGTTTGTTTTTGTATCTCGTCATTGAGCATCGTGATATCATGTGATTACGAAGACGGCATGATAAATTGATAAGGCTATAAAAATACAATTGTAGTTCCCATACAATGGACAATTTTGGGAAGCAATTTTAGCTTTTGACGTCAATCGCTATTTTTATTTACATAACTTATTTGCGACTGTTTTATTATGCGAAAAATGGTCAAGGGTTTTATATTACTGCTTTGTAACCACTTTATAACTTAGGGACTTCTTTAGTAAGGGCATAAAATAGGTAAAAGTAAAATTACTTACTTACTTGACACAAGCGAGCAATAAGTACTCGCCACTAAGAAAAAAATACTACACGTTCAATAATTTCTGTAGCTAATTAATGTGTGCTGTCAGTCTCATCAATAAAAGCAGAATTCACCTCACGTCTAAGCTACGGACGAATTCATATAAAAAACGGGGATTCTCAACATGACTTCACGTAGGTGCTATCAAAGGTCACAGACCCTTTTTAATATGTGATATCTACGCTAGGACTAATTAATGTTAGGTACACTCTCTTTAATGTCCAGAATACAAACGTTGATATTATGCGATTACCGTATCCTCTAAGTTTACGTCAGTTCTAAAAATTATTGGTTGCTTTAGGTACCGATCGAATCTTGTGAGAAATTGTGGTGAAGAAGAAGTAGGTATGTAGGTACCTATTACATTTATTTCTAAACACATCATGTGGGTCAGATACAGTTATTGAATTTCAATTGAGTAGGAGATTGGGATTGTACCTACAAGACTACCTACTCTTGGACTCAGCAGCCTCACACACGGCTAAGAAGAAAATATTTAGAGAAGAGACAAGAACAAAAATCTTTAAAATAATCAAGTACCTACCTACTTAATTTCACATAGGTACCACATGCGTTTACATTTTACAAATTTCCCAGAAATCCCAGAAAGTTGTTCCGTATATCACAGCTTATGTCTGCGTCTCGGTTAAGTGACTTAACGAGTATGATATTTAAGATAACGAGATGGAAAAATATTTTAAAACCATTTTTTATGTTGGTAGAGCTACGGTCACGTACGCCTTCTGAAGATTATGGTCGAGGTAAGACTTATATTGTTCTACTGACGCCGCAATCTGGGTCTATGTCTGGGCAGACAATTATAATAGTGAGATATGTTGAAGAAAACAAGGATCTACTTATCAGGCGCCACTTGCCAGAGACAAAGCCTTTAGTTTGACGCAGATAGAGCGAGAAACCCACAAAATACAATCCCTTTAACGGTATTCTCATTTGAGAAGCCGCAAAAACAGCGAAAGTGCATGGCGTCTTGCTTCAACCTTGAACAAGTATTATCCCTTAATGTACTGCTTTTGCTGAGCGTTGCTTAAGATTTCTGCTAGGCTGCACAATAAAGGTACTTATTACTATACACCAAGAACGCTTTTTTGGGGCTTTGTTATTTAAAAGTGAATAATTATAGATTCTTTATGTAGAGTCTTTAAGGGTTATAATAATGTTCGATTCAGGAAGAGATCATCCAGCATTATTTATGTTTTAAGAAGGAAAAAACCATCCTTTGTTGAGAAGAACATTAATGTTTTCCATGTTAAGTCATTTTTTATATTAATGGCTAATTATTACAACATAAATTAACCGTAACACATCCGGTCAACAGTTAAACGACATGTAAAGCATTAAGATGACATGAGTTGATACATGATAATAAATAAGAAGGAGCTAAGGTAGATAAATAATGACTCCTACAACATTAAGCTCTTCGGAATATTAAGAAGCGCCTAACTAAGTTACATTGCTAACTTCAATAAGCAAAGTCCCTAATCTGTCGTGATTTTTCAATCATCATTTCAGCCACAGGACGTCCACTGCTGAACATAGGCCTCCCCAATGCTTTCCATGTTGATCGATTGGTAGCGGCCTGCGTCCAGCGCTTCCCTGCTATCTTTACGATGTCGTCGGTCCACCTTGATTTCTCCTTAAAACTGGAAATCAAAATTAAATTATTGCGAACATTGCAAGCACCAGCATTAATAAGAACAGACTACAACAGCAACATACAGGACAGAGTAGCTGAAATTGGGAACGTGCCCCGTTCAAAATAAGATGTATGGTCACTTTAGATCCCTTTTATACCTGCTATCCTTTATGCAATCCTGTGTGAATCACAGAGGTCGCCGTCCTTAGCTGAGGACTCATTGTCCGACTCACACTAGTCCCATCCCATTAAGCGCGGCTCAAAAATCACTGCTAAGGAATATTCACTGTGATATTTTTCACTCTACGAAAAACATCAAGATCTAGCAACATCTATTTGGATTGGAAAATGTTTTATGTGTATAAAGAAACAGATTACGTCTATCCTTTTCGATCAGGATTCAGGTGGTACGCGGATCAACAACGTAACTACCACCATACATACAAGAAGCAACGACTCTACATTTCTCAAGACGTTGGTTTCTTCTCATCTGCCATTATCGTAAGAGGAAATTAAGAAGCATAAAATGAGTGAAAAAGTGTTATTAGAAACCCAGAAGTAACTTGTAATGCAATCTCACGTAAACCCAACAATGGGCACATAAAATGGGCCTTCGTAATACCTGTCAATACACGGCAATAACTTATGTTGATGATTTCCTAGAAACTATTGAACGTCTACCCGCATGTGACGCGAAAGCCTCAGACAATGTACTTTCGCTACGTCCCGTATATTTGCATGCAAACAATTTTGCCTTTTAATGCTTCCTTCGTAAGTACCAATAATGCACTTTTGTGCTAAAGGCGAAGCGTAATTGTACTTGCTTATTACCTGAATAATAGTCATTGCAGTGCATGTAAGTATACTTACAGATGAACGTTTTCAGAATTGCGACGGCTAATTTACTGAAGTCTGGCATAAAACATTCCGTAGCTTTTATGCTTAGATATACCTATCTACAATAGCCATTAGAGTTGTTTCTTTTTTACCCTTGTTCGCCTGGTGAATAAAATGGAAGAAGTAATTGAGACCTACCCTATTTTATTCCGGTAAGAAAGTCTTTTTGTATGTAGTTATGCCTGTAAATCTGTTTGCAGCAGATGTAGCACAAAAACATTGTTTTGTTGGGTCAGCTGACGTAATTCCATTTCCCAAACCACGATTCTCAACCGATACTAAAAATTCTCTGTTTACATTGTTTTAAACCCTGTTTTTACGCGCGGAATAATGTTACAGCGTTCATTGTAAATAAATTGTACGATAAAAATACCGTTTCCTTTTTATTGGCCCGTTGCAACATTGTCCTATATTCGACCGATAAACTTTAAGACGGGAATGTATAGTGTCGCAATCTGTCGCAAATTAAGCAGTTTTGAGAGCGGAGTCGCCCCAATGATCCAGTTTACGCATTGATACAAGTAGGGTTGCCATCTGGATATTTTGAGTCTTGACAAAAGCTAGACATTTAGAAACATTCGGTAATTAAAAAAATATCCCAGAACTTACCTAAATAGTTTCTATCTCAAATCATCGACGAAATGAATAAGTAGGCTGATTCAGCGACATATCCGAAAAAATTAGGGTGGATGGTAACCCTACTTGCCAGTATCATTGGAATTATTGTGATTGCTAAGCTATAGGCTTGTCCTATCCAATTCAATCAGGCTAGTCCGTTGTTGGACACAATACAGTGACGTAGGCGCAGTGAGTTTGATCTATCGATATTTTATTTGTATTGTTAGTAATGTTTCCCAACATATAAAAAACCTATTTAAATCCTTTGCTAAACAAAGACTAACAACGGACATATACTTTTTGCTAATTAGAATAATTCGATACTCCTGCTTCGCTATTATCGTCGTTATGTTTTAAAGTTTCTGCTAATCGTTTAAACCAGTTTCGCTTGAAAGACT